TGCAGGGGGGGGCACTTCCCCATTTCCCCTCCTCCCCAGGAACATTTTTAAGGCACAGCCCAAACACAGCTGGAAAGAGAGAAAAACTTTAATGACCCCCCAATCCCATTTAAAAAGGGAAAAAAAAAGAGCCAAAAAGGTTAAAAAGCTGCGGCAAAGGCGCCACCTCGCGGGGGGAGCCGGGCAGCTGCCCCTCATCCCCGCCGCCGCCAAGCTAAAAATCACATCAAAAGTGACCTAAAAACACAGCAAAAAAGGGGAAGGGGTTGAATCCTCTGGCGCTTTTGTCCACCCGTTGTGTCCACCTTGAGGGGGGGACACCAAGGTCCCCGGTGCTGGTTTAGGGGGGGACACCCAGCGCTGGGGCAGCCCCCCCCGCCCCGTCTGTCTGTCCGTCTGTCCGTGGGTCCCTGGAGCACAAGTGCCACCTGGAGGCGAAGCCCGGCCGGTCCCTGGCGCGGCACCAGGAGGAGGAGGATGGCGGAGGGGCCCAGGCGTCCGGCGCCGCTCAATAAACCGCCTCGTCCGCGTTGTCGTCGCTGTCGGCGCCAAAGTCCTCGCCGTTGTCGAAGTAGGACATGATGTAGTCGGTCTCCTGCCGGGAGAGCGGGGTGGGCACCGGCGGTGGGAAACGGAGCCCGCGGCCCCGCACCTGAGCTCACCTCCTCGTGCTCCTCCTCGTCGTACTCCTCCTCCTCCTCCTCTTTGCCTTCCTCCTCCTCCTCCTTCTCCTCCTCCTCCGAGGTCACCTCCTCCTCCTTCTTTTCCAGGCTCTGGGAAGGGAGGGCCATGTGGGATGAGCGCTGGCGTTCCCGGAGGGAAGCCCTCCCCTCTTCCCTGGAAAGGCCTTCGGCCTCGTCACCTCCAGCTTCTTAATGGCCTCCTCCTTGTCGAGCGGCGGGCGCTGCTTGCGGGGGGGCGGCAGCACGGGGGGGCCTGCGGGGGGCAGAGATGGGGGTCAGATGGGGGCGGCCCCGGCACCGCGTCCATCCCATCCAGTCTGTCCCGTCCATCCCATCCCGTCCATCCCATCCCGGACACTCACCGCCCATCCGGAGCCGGCGCACCCGGATCCTCAGCTCCCGCGGCAGCCGCCTCCAGTCTGCGCGGGGTGACGAGAGCGGGTGACGACGACAGGGGGTGACGACGACAGGGGGTGACGACGACAGGGGGTGACGACAGCGATGGGGCAGTGACAACAGCCATGGGGAGTTGCCAATGACAAGTGGGGGTGTCAGTGACCATGCAGGGGGTGACACCAGTGATGGAAGGGGGTGACAGTGACCATGGGGAGGTGACAAGGATGTCCCCAAGTGCCCCCGCCGTGTCCCGCCTACCTGGGCTCCAGTCGATGGCGCCGTCAACAGGGCTGCCCACCTGGTACTTGTCCGAGTAGCGCTCGATGTCTGGGGGGGGTCGGTGACACGGGGGGTCCGGGTGGCCACACTGTGTCCCTCCCCTTGTCCCCCTCATGTCCCCCCCTCTGTGTCCCCCCATCATGATCCCATGTCCCCCCCGTCCCCCTGCCCGTCCCCCCATCATGATCCCATGTCCCCATGTCTCCCCTTGTGTCTCTGTTCCCACC